TAAAAACACTGTCTTCAGATAAGGGTGGGTACCAGGCTTCCTTCCTTGCCTTTGATTATCTCAATGTCTAATTTCTAAATTTCCTTGAATTTTTTCAAATTTGGCACTTCAATTTTACTCCAATCATTTCCTTCCTTGAGTTTATTGTTAGCAAATAGCATTTGGCTGTATATTTTTCTTAAATTAGAACACCTCGTCACATTCCTTCCTTGTGTATTTTCAGTGTACGCACTCTGCCCTACCACTGAGCTTTAGTGTCTCTTTCTTAGTTTCTTTCTGTATCTTGACTTCTATATCTAACATCTTATAAAGCTTTAGACTGTCTTTACCAGCCAGTTCCTTTATGCTTCTCTCTTCTGCTACCCTGGGAAACCTCCAAAACATGCACCGTCTATCTGGATTGAACTTATATATGTATGCTTAACTGATTAAATCCCCATAGCCACTTCTTTCTAGTAGATATTTCAGTACTTCAGAACATTACCCTATAACAGTTACCCTAATTTTTTCCGTTTAAAGAAAAATACTATTTATTGTGAAACATATGGAAATACAGAAAAGACAAAATACTGAAATAATGTTTGCTTTAACATATTGCCCATAACTATGCCATTCTAATTCTTTCACCAAGAATTTTGTGTATAACATAAATATACATATATTGTTTGTAATATATTTAATGAAAATAATCTTGTGCTTAAAATTTTATATCTTCCTATTTAAAGCAATGTATTGTCATGGTTATCATGTTTAGTGCTTTTTATCAGCATAATTCTTAATGGTTACAAAACATTTCAATATAAAATATGCTATTTATCATTTCCTTAATATTAAATTAGGAAATATGAATTATTGTTTAACATGACAGCAAACCTTTTTTTTTTCTGTCACTTTTGGCTTAAACTTTTTCAAAGTAGTCTACTTGTGACCCGACTCATTTCTCTTAGTATGTGTCACATAGTTTCAGCCTAAATTCTTCAGTGAGGTTGCCTTAGGTAAATCAGTGACACCCACATTAACAGATGCAGGATGGATCAGGTTCCTCAGCATCACCTAACAAAAGCAACCACTCTTTCTGGAAACACTCCTTTCTGCTAGCTTCCATACACAATTTCCTGGCTATTTCTAGGTGCTCATCTTCATTCACATTTTACCAGCTTCTTTCCTTGTCTTAAGTTAAGTGCTTTCCAAGTGAGCAGGCCCAATTATAGACATTCTAATTTCTCTGGATTTCGTTAGGTAAGCATAGTAAACTCACGGTTTTAAATACCATGTCAATGATTTTCAAAAGCGCATTCCCTACCACTCTTAAGAGATTTGGACTTGCATATTCATTTAACCACCAAACATCTACATTTTTCACAGGAATCTCAAGATCAAAATGTTCAAGGACTGGAGAGATGGGTCAGTGGTTAAGAACACTGGCTGTCTTGCAGAAGAGCCAGGTTCTGTTCCCAGCACCAATATGTAACTCCAGCCAGGGGATCTGACACTCTCTCCTGGTCTTCATGGACATTTAAAATATGCATGCACTTACACAGTGCAGGCAAGACACTAATACACATAAAAATAATAAATAAACAAAAGTCAAAATGTTCAAATTTATCCTGGATGCTATCCTTACCACCTGCTCCTCTTCCACCTGCCCACACCCCAATTTCAGTAAATGTTGTTTCCATTCACATAATTAACAAACCAGTACCTAGAGAATCACTTTTTAAAACCATTTTAAATTTATTGTTTGAGAATTTCATATACATGTGCAATGCATTTTGATCATATTCACTCCCTCCTCCATCTCTTTGGAGACTGCCTCACTGTATCCCCTTTCCAACTTCATGTCCTCTTTTCTCTGCCTCTTTGTATCTCTTATAATTCATCAAATCCAATTAGTGCTGCCCATATGGTACATACATCATCCACTGCCACACAGGCGACCTATCAGGGGCCACACCCCTGAGACAAACTGTCTTTCTCCCAACAGTCTTCATTTTCTTTGTCCCTAAGCATCAATACAATTATTATTAGCTTTAAATGCAACAATATCTGTCCTGTTGTATCAATCCACACTGTCACTATTTCATTATTTACTTACACTCATATTTTCCAGTCCCTCTTCTAAATCTCTAAATAATATTTGATATTCGCTTCCTTGATTAGATTTTGTTATATGACACAGTAAAAGGTTCTCTTGTAGCTCACTAAAAAGAGATTGTCTCTGCTAGCTTTGAAAAAGTAGCTTCTTATTGTGAGGGGACAATTGTGGCCAGGATGTGACAACAGCTCTTAGGAGCTTAAAAGCCAAAACAGCTGTCAGCCAGCAAGAAAACTGGGGCCAGCATCATTCTGAAACATTCGGCCAGTGTTCCATGAGCCAGGAAGAAGGCCTTGAGTACTGGATGCGATCTCTTCCCTACTGCTGCTATTTTAGCCTGCTGGGGATTCAGATCAGACAACCCACCTCATCTGTACATTGGCTCTTAACCTTGGCTCTCGCAGAAACTGTGAGATTGTACATCTGTGTTGATTTGAGATGCTAAATTTGTGGTAATTTAGAATGTAGGAGTACAAATAAACACACCTCCTTTTCTTTTGCCCATTACTATCCTAATACAGAGGATACAGGTTACTATATGGTATTTTAAACACAATGATACTCCTTGATGAAGCCTGGGAATCACTGCATCCCCAAGCCAGGTCAACTTCTTCCAGCACACATCATGCACCATCCCCTTACTGAGGCTTTCCTCTAGCCACAGCTTCCCAGAATGTGGCATCTGCTTCCTAATGTAACCCCTTTTTGTGATCTCTCAGTTATGTACTCTTTCTTATAAACCCCTTCTCATCTAACAATGCTTTTCCCAATATTTTTTTTGAGAATTTCATAGATGCATATAATGTGCTTTGATCAAATATACCTCCCATTCCATTGCATCCAAATCCTTCCCTGTCACCCCCTCAACTTTTCCCTCCCAACTTCATGTGATCTTTTAAAAAACTCATTGAGTCCACTAAGTGTGACCTGATCAAGGCCATCTCTCCTGGGGCATGGGTAACATGTCAGTTGCTCTTCCTGAAACAGGTATCAATTATCATGAGCTACTTCCCCATCCAAGCTGGGATTTTGGCCTGCTTGATCTAGTACAGGTCTGCATGCAGTCATATCTGCTATGAGTTCATGTGTGCACTGGTCCCATCATGTCCAGCAAATATTATTTTCTTGTAGATAGCCATTTAAGGTTGTTTACATTGTGAGTTTTTCCTACTCAACCTTAAGGTTCATGAGGTCAGGAAACTGTCTTCTGTTTGTTTTTGCTGTATAATTGTTGGTAAATTATATGCATATCTAATATACTCGACACATGAATGTTGTATATTTTAGTGTACAGTGGAATGTCTGATGTATATTGTTGTTTTATTATTATATCCATCAACTTACATTAATCAATTCTATTAACAATTTCAAATATATGATACATTATTCTTGGTTACAGTTAATCTTAATAAGGATCTTAACATTTCCTAATTTATAAATGGCTTTCTTCTAGAAAGTTCTACTTCCTAATACCTTTAGGGTTAGATTTCAGTTCATGAATTTGGAAGGAGAAGCAAGGATTCATCTGTAATACTGCTGTGTGTAAACAATTCACTTTCATGTTGTCTAGAAACAATAAAAATTTTTTGAAACATTTGCATATCAATTAATGCATAATTATTTAGTAAATCACTATTTTGACTTCCGTGACTATTTTAAAAGTTTATTTTTTCCTTCTTTGCTTTTCCCAAGTGCACAGTGTTTGTGCATATGTTTTGATCAATTTATATCTTTCTAGTAGAATTCTTGTGTTGTGTATGAATGAATATATATATATATATATCCTTTTGAATGTAATGAAATTCCACTTTGATACCTATCATCTGCTTCACTAGGATTTCTCTTTTAAAATGTCAATGTAAATTTTTTATTAATTTTTTGTTTGACAGTTCATACATGTATTCAATGTATTCTGAATACCTTCTCCTCCTACCCTCTCTTATCTTCCTCTCACCCCTATGAACATCTCCTGGTTGTTGCCGCTTGTGTATCTGAGTCATAACTCTTGATTTTGTTTTCTTTACTGAGGCTTTCAATCCACATGGTTGTTCAGCAGAGTCTAAGCCACTGCCTCAAAAGGCATTTTATTTAGTCTGGCATGCATTTAGATTTAACAGCAGCTCATTTGGAAAGCTTTGGATAAAACTACTTTCTAAAACAGTTGAAAATAGAGTTAAAATACCTTAGTTTATTTGATAATAAAAACATTAGTTATGTTTTGGCACTAGGATGTTGTGGTCACTGAAAGTGAAGGAAACGATGTCACTTGGAAGTAGGCTTCAGAATCTCGGTCTTCTAAACAATTGTAGCTCTTTATAAGTCCTATGGACATACATTTATAAAACATTCCCACAAATATGTTGCCTCCAATAATTGAAAATCTGCCGTAGCATTCTGAGTTCTGATGATGATTACTTTGAAAGTAAGATAAAAAGAATTGGAAATTAAAAAAAAATCAACTTCAACAATTAGAAGGCAGCATTCCTGGAGCTTACTTGCTCTTCCTTTGGCAGAAAAAATGCTTCTTTCCACTTGATTTGTTTCAAAAGCAGATACCTCACTTTTAGTCATTGCTCATATAAGTATGTGAAGTTAGAAACTGCTGGGAATATAACTTCTGGAACCTTGTAGGGAGTAGTGTCTGTGATGTCACAGATCCCTGAGAGAAACTTCTAAGAGTGAAATTTGTTTTAAAAGAGATTAAACAACAAATACGATGGATGAATAAGGTGGGATCCAACAAGAGTGTACTAGAGAATGCAATAATTAGTGGATTACTTTTTTCCCTGTGCTCAATAGAAAAACTCAATGAAGGCAGGCAACAGCTTAACCACTTGGTACATTTTTGATTCTTAATGATTCATTGCTTGAAGGCTGATAAATTTAGAATTCACCCATCTTAGCAATGGAAGAAAGTGATGAATCTGATCAATCCATCTCTCTAGGGAGGCATGAAATTCGAAAGAGAAGACGACCCAGCCAACCAATGATAGATAAGTACCAGCATACTGAAGTGACAGAGAAAAAGAAACACATGGCTACCGCACAACCATCTGTCCCCAAAGCCACCCTCAGTATTAGTAATATTCCTGGAAGCAAAGACAACCACTCTGCAAAAGAATATGAGTCTCATAGACTATCTTCTCAACTTCTGCAAACTTGGATGAAGAGAAAGTGTGGCCAGGAAATGACTGATAAATCTCTGCAAATAAACATTGCTGCAGAAGAGAAAAAGGAAGTTATGTTCTTTGGTGAAACAGGTACAGTTGAAGAAAAGCCAGCTAGTGTTAGAGAAGCAGCTCCTGAATTGTCACAGAGTGTCCAGGAAGTAGGGATTCCAACCAGCAGACAGGCAATTCAATTTATAGACAGATCTCAGCAGACCAGCTGTACTAGTGACCAGCTGATTTTGATGAACATCTGCCCCAAAGATAAATTGGACAAGGAAAAGCAGACATACTCAGTGAATCAGAAATTGCAGTGGCCTCTATTCCAAGTAGTTCCTTGACAAAGTCAAAGGAGGTAACTTTGCCTGTTGAACAGATTGAAATGAGGGCTTTGTTTGAAAGAGAGGTACTGCCAACTGAAAAAGTCTCTGCTGAAGTAATGCCTCCCACTGCAGAGCAGATGGCTGCTGAAGGCCAGGCTCTACCACCTGTAGAGGCCACAACTACAGCAGAGCCCAGCTTTGCAGAGGAGACCCTTGTCCAAACACAGCCTCCAACTGAAGAAACCGCTGCAGTTGGGACAGTCATTGAAACTTTGAAGGCCTCTGCTGAAATGCCTCCCCCAGCTCCAGAGCGGCTTCCAAGAGAGCCCCCTGCTGAGATTCTTCCACCAGTACAAGAGGAAATTTCATAGGCGCCTCCTGAAGAATTGGAGCTCCAAAGATTGAAACGGATGTTTTAGAGGAACTTCCTGAAATTGTGGTTCCACTTACAGAAGAGATGCTTATGGAAGTTCAAGCTTTGTCAATTGAGGATGTCCTTAAAGAAACCTCAGGTAAAGCAGAGTCTACTACTGCTGAAGAGACCATGGATGGCACTCAACCGCCAGTGCCAGTAGAAACTCCTGAAGGAGTGCCTGGTAAAGTTCAGCTTCTACCAACTGAGGCTGTCCCTGCAAAAGAGGGCCCTACAGAAATTCAGCCTCTATCAGCTGAGGAGGCCCCTGCAGAAGACGTCCCTGCGGAAGTTCGGTCTCCACCACTTGAAGAGGTCCCTGTGGGAGATGCCTCTGCAGTTCAGCCTCCATCATTTGAAGAATTCCCAGCAGAAGAGGCCCCTTCAGAAGTTCAGCCTCCAACAGCCGAGGAAACCCCTGCAGAGGGTCAGCCTGCATCAGCTGAGGGTGATCCTGTGGAAGAGACAGCTGCAGTTCAGCCTCCACTAGCTGAGGAGGCCCCTGCAGAAGAGGCCCCTGCAGAAGTTCCACCTCCATCATTTGAGACGGCCCCTACAGAAGGGGTGCCTGCTGACGTTCAGCTATCACAAACTGAAGAAACTCCTGTGGAAGATGTGTCTATTGAAGGTCAGCCTCTACCAGCCAAGGACTTTACAGAAGAAGTCCCAGTTGAAGCCCCTGCGGAGGAGACCATTGCAGAAGTTCAGCCTCTATTTGAGGGAGCTTCCAGAAAAGCCCCTGCTGAAATTCAGCTTCTACAAATTGAGACTTCTGAAGAAGCACCTATTGAAGGTCAGCCTCTACAAGATAAGGGCGACTTGGTACCAGCTGAACGGGCCCCTGCAAATGAAGTTCAGCCTCATTCATCTGAGGGGCCACCTGGAGAAGAAACTCTTATTGAAATAAAGCTTGCACGTGCTGAGGAGACCCCTGCAGAACAGGCTTCTGTTGAAGGTCAGCCTCCACCATATGACGCCCCTGCAGAAAAGTCCCCTGTTAATGAACGACCTCCACAAGCTGATGTGGTTCCTAGTCAAGGGTTTCTTATACAAGAGATGCCTGCTGAAGTTTTGCCTTCACCATCTGAACAGGTCCCTTCAGATAAGGCTCAACTAGAAGATGCATCCCTGAAACTTCAAACTCCCCAGGTAGCACATGTCTCGGGGAAACAATTATCTTTGAAAGGTGATATAAAAACTCAAAGAATAACTCCTGTTCCTTCAGATACGTCTAATACCAAGGGTGGGCAAATTTCCACTTACAAAATAAAAGGTACCATTAAAATAGAATTAAAGAACCCCTCACTCCGAACTGTAGGCAAGTCCTAACTTAAGCTATGAATCATAAGCTAGAAGATTCTAGAAGTACTGTCTTTAGATAAAAAGAAGCCGTCCGGGAAAAAGTTTCTTAAACAGATTAAAGGAAAAGAGCCCGAAAGACTGGTAATGCAGGTGGAAAATGAATAAAAGCAAGAGCAGTTTAAAATTACTTGTGTTTTCATTCAAATCTATGACATGTAAAAAATTGAAATTGAGTTTATGATTATCATTATTACTTTAAATATACTTTCTGTAGTAAGTGCATTGACAATAGTAGTTTATTCTAAAGCCAATTTCTTTCCTCTGCTTTGTCTTCATAAGCTGATGTACCTTCTATGGGGAAATGGCACTTTCTTTAATCAGCTGCCATCTTTAAATTCCTTGAGTTTTATTCACACATCTAAACTTACATGGTGTGCTTGTTCTCTGGTTATAATTCATCATTTCTTTTAATTTCTTTCCCTTCACTCCCTTCTGAGACAAGCATTGCTTTCCTAGTTTCAAATATTCTTCCTTATCTTGCATATTTCACATTTCAATATGTGGACAGGGAAAGTTATTTCCTTTGTAAAAATGCTACATATGTTGTATTTTAAAGATATGAAAGTATAAAGAATAATATACCAGGTGTCGGTAGCTCATGCATATAATCTCAGCTCTTGGGAGACTGTGGCAGGAGCCACAGACTGAATTAAAGCCCAGGACAAAATGAGACCATGTCTGAAAAAAATTAAAACAAAGCATCCAACCAACCAACACTAAAAATTCATTTCAATTGAGAATGTGATTAGTTGCCTGAAAGATTGCTTTATGCTATTTATACTCTGAACTTGTGATGCAGAGAAACAGACTTAAGCGGTTGAAGATACTGAAGAAAATCAAAACCGAACAGTGTTGCAAATATTCTAAGATGCCTGTTATCAAAATGCTTCCGGGTTTGTTTGATTGTGACACATTTTAAGAAGAAGCAGTTTCAATATGCTGAAATGTTTACGATATTTATAAGGTATTTGGATACCACATTACTGGGGGCAGGAGAAATGGCTCGGTAGATAAGAGCTTGAACTGATACTACAGAGGACTGGGGTTTGGTTCCCAGCACCCACACTGGGTGGTTTAAAACAACCTCTAACTCCAGCTACAAGAGATCTGATGCCTCCATGGGCACTGTACTCACATGTACATCACACACACACACACACACACACACACACACACACACACACACACAAATAAATCCTTAAAAAGTTGCTGTGGTGTAGTGTACATATAAAAATTGCATTTATTTCAATTGTGCAATTCGATGACTTTGGACATACATATACTCAAGGAAACAACCTCAATTAAGAAAAGTGAATGTGAGGGGGTGGAGAGATAGCTCAGAGGTTAATGGAACTTAACTGATCCTCCAGAGGACCCAGGTTCAGTTCCCAGTACCTATATGGCAGGTAATACATGCCCTTAACTTCAGTTCTACTGCAGTTCTGGGGGCTCCAGCACCCTCTTCTGGCCTCTGCAGGCACCAGACATGTACACAGTGCACTTATATACTGCAGACAAAACAAAAACAAAACAAAACCTTATATGCATGAAGAAAATTTTAAGAAAAAGTGAATGTGACCATCACTTAAAAGTTTCCATAGCAACAATTTGTGACTTCTCTTTCTCTGTATTCAGTCCTTGATTCTATTCTTAGACCCCCAAGCAATCAGTATACTATTTTGTCTTATATATTTTTCTACAGTATTATGTAAACAGAATCCTATAGCGTGTATGCTTTTTAGTCTCTTTTTGGTTGGCTCCTTTAACTCAAAATATCATTTGGAGATTCAGTCACATTGTATATATTAATATTTTGTACTTTTTAATCAATATATATTCCATTGTTTATGCTAGCAGTACCATTTTATGCATTTCACAAACATCAAGTAATTTTTGCAGATATGAGTTGAGTTGTTCATAGTTTTGGGCTATTATAAATAAAACTGCTATGAGCATTCATATGTGAGTCTTTTTTTAAACATGTTTCCATGTTTTATTTCAAGAAAATATAACACTTAGGGAGGAGATGACCAGATTGTGTGGGAGGGAAATGCTGGACTTTTAAAAAATCTGATGAACTATTTTCCAAATTGATGTGCGTTTTACATTCTATTAGCCATTTATGCTGAAATTTTTCTATACCCTTGTCAACACTTTTGTATGGTCAGTGTTTTATTTATCATTTAGTCAATCTAGTAGGAGCTTAATGATACCTCTATGCAGTTTTAGTATTTATTTTACTAATGACTGATGATTCAGGGCATCTTTATATGGGCTTATTTTTCCTCCTCTATAACTTTGATGAAGTACATCCTTTTCCTTTATATTTAAGAATTTTTGGTCAATGGGCTGGAGAGATGGCTCGGCGGTTAAGAACACTGGTTGTTCTTGCAGAAGACCCGGGTTCAGATCCCAGCACCCACATGGCAGCTAACAACTGTCCGTGACTTCAGTCCCAGGGCATCCAACAGCCTCTTCTGACATCCGCGGGCATTGCGCTATGCAACTGCACTTACCGACATGCAGGCAATACATGCATACACATAAAATAAAAATAATAAGTAAAAAATATTTTTTGGCCAAAATGAGGATCACTATTGTTTCCTACTTGCTAAATGCATTAATTAGCTCTGGCAACTTTTTAGTATATTGTGCCTATGCTTTCTTCTAGAAATTTCATTCTGCATTGCATAATCAGATATAAAATCTCTTGTCAGTGAATTTTATATATAGTATGAATAGAGGCACAGGTTTTTAAATCTTTATTTGTTTTAGACAAGGTATTCCCTTGTATCAGCACCATGTGTTCAAATAGTCATCTTCTCTTCATTGAACAACCTTGATGTTTTTGTTGAAAATTAATTGACCATGTGTGTACAAACAATGCCCTCTGCTTTGTTCCATTGATTCAAGCCTGTCTCTGCATCAACTTAACATTGTTTTTATGAAAAAGCATTCTTTTTTTAAACAAATGACTAATTTTGCATGTAATTAAGTTTTCAAAATTGTGTGTGTATGTGTGTGTGTGTGCGTGTACAACTTGTAGGAATTGCATCTCTCTACCTTTAGGTGTTTTCTGGGGATTAAACTCAATTTGGCAGGTTTAGTGGCAAGGGCTCTTACTTGATGAGCCATTTCTAAAGGTCAACATTGTTTTAAATATTTTATTCATGATTTTAATTTTATGTGTATGAGCGTATTGCCTGCATGTATGTAAGGGTACCTGCGCCATACAGTGCCTGTAGAGGTCAGAAGAGGGCAACTGGAATTCCCTGGAACTGGAGTTACCAATGGGTTGTGAACAGCCATGTGGGTGCTGGGATTCGAACCCAGGTCTTCTGCAAGAGCAGTCAGTGCTCTTAAACACTGAGCCATGTCTCCAGTCCCCAATGTTGTTTCAATAATAGTTTTATAATAAATATTGAAATTGAATATCTTTTTCACAATATTTTGTCTTTAAAAATGTTTTGCGGAGCATGGTGGCACACACCTTTAATCCCAGCACTCGGGAGGCAGAAGCAGGCGGATCTCTGAGTTCGAGGCCAGCCTGGTCTCCATAGCGAATCCAGGCCAGCCAGGGTTACAGGGAGACCCTGTCTCAAAAGTGTTCGTTGAAAATTTATGAATCATTAACCAATTTTCAAAAATATTCCCGTTAGTATTTATTGAAACGAAAGATAAATGATAAACTAATAGCATTAAATATTTTGATCCCTGACACTTTTTTGAATATATATTTCTATCATTTTATGCTTTAAAATTTTTCCTCACCAATTACTGTAGCTTTCAGTTGTATCAATTTTGTGCTTAAATATTTCACTTTTTAAAATTTTTATTATTTTTTTCTAAAAATAGTGATCCTTTATACTAGATCTTAATCAAACCCCCTCCTTCATCTACTCTCAGACCTACCGACTTCCTTACTCCATACCCCATTTTGAGTCTTGTTTTCTTTAAAAGATGATCAAGTTCAATTTGTATTCTCCAACTACTTAGTGAGGAATATTAGCTTTTTAAAATTTTGTATTCCTGTTTTGTAGGAATATAATGGCCTTTTTGCACCATGGCTATTTTGTTGTCTCATATTAATTTTTAGCTCTGGCAGCTTGTGTGAATTGCCCAGAATTTTCCACACAGACAATTAAGCCATTTGCCAGTATTATTTTAGTTTTTCCTACTTTACCTAAATGCTTTCTGCTGTTTTTCTCATCTTTTTTCATTTTTAAAATTTTTAAACAATTTTTGCAAATTTCATTTTGTATTTTAATCACATTTAGACCCCACCCCCCCTTCATCCTTCTTAGAGCACTGCCTTCTGGTTTTCATGTACTTTGTCATTTTATGTTAAGGCCTATTGAGCCAAGTTTCAGTTCCCAATGTCCTTCAATGTGTGTCCATCTACTGGAGCCTGGTTAACCTATCTGACATTATACCCTTAAAGAAAACCAATTCTCCTCTCTTAGAGGTATTGGTTACCAATAGTTCCTCAGCTAAGGGTGGGACTTCTTACCCACTTTCCTATTCCTATTCTGGGTTTTTGTTTGGCTTGAGCTTACAGAGGACTTGTGCATGCTTTTATCATTGCTGTAAGTTCATATGAGTAACTTTCCAGCTGTCTGGAAAACTCTGCTTGAAAATTTCATGATTTTGTTTTTCTATATTGCTAACTAGAAATAGTGTAAATGTACCAACTTTTTGCCCATTCCTCATTTGAAGGACATTTAGTTGTCTCCAATTCTTAGCTATTGTGAAAAGAGTAGCAACATACATGTTTGAGTAAGTATCTCTGCAGTAGGATGCTGGTTCCTCTGAGCATGTCAAAGAATGGTGTAAGCAAATCATATGGTAAATTTATTTTTAGATTTTTAAGAGTTCTCAGCACTGACTTCCACAATTGTTGCAGCCATTTGCAGTGCCACCAGCAGTGGATGAGGATTCCCCATTTTTTGCAGCCTTGCCAACATTTA